GCAAGTGCCTGTTCCAAGTATTTCATTTGTTTGACATATGTTGCAAGCGTTTGATCTAGATGTTGCATATGTGTTTCACGTGTATGTTGCAAGTGTTTTATTTGTATGTTGCATATGCTTGCAACGACTTTCAAGTGTTTTCAGGCGTTTTGCAAGTGTTTCAGTCGTATATTGCAAGTGTTTTAGCTGTTTTAGACGTATATTGCAAGTGTTTTATCTAGATGTTGCGTATGTTTTGCAATAGTTTTCAAGTGTTTTTAGTGTTTTTGCTAGTGTTTCAGACACATATTTCAAGTGTTTCAGCTGTCTTCTTTCGTATGTTGCAATTGTTGCATCTAGATGTTTCAATAGTAGATCAGGTGTTGTACATGGGATTCGCGTGGGAAGCGGGAGGGGGCAGGAGTGGTCTCCCCGCGGGCGACATCCGGGCCGCACGGGCACCCACATGGACGCGCGAAAACGTGCGCGCGGAAACGGTGACATGGGCGTCCGGACGCAGCTTCCATCAAGACGTCCTGGCGCTAGCAGCTATCAATCCTTGAACTAGATATGGTAATGGTGAAAATGTTTTATTATAATTACTTATTATAGGTTAGTTAGTATCTTTAGTCATAATACCTTCCCTTCTTCCAGGTGGGGGATTCTCTCCCCCTCCGTTGACCATCAACAAAAAACCTTCCCTTCTTGCGGTTGGGCATGACACGTGTTGCATTGGCTAACTCGTCTCCTGTTGGATGGGTTATTGTAAGAAATGTGTTGAATGTTTATTTGTACTAATTGGGCTTACAGTGGACTTATGTTGTAATTAACAATATAGGGTTAGGTGAGCTAGCTTAGGTGTTGGCTCCTGTAACCCGGGTCCTCTATAAAAGGAGGAGGGAGCTCTCCAGCCTAAGCTCTTGTAACCCGGCTCCTCCGGCTCCTCTATAATAGGAGGAGGAGCTCTCCATCCTGAGCTCTTGTTACCCGGCTCCTCACCCTAATAATATAGGGTTAGGTGAGCTAGCTTAGGTGTTGGCTCCTGTAACCCGACTCCTCTATAAAAGGAGGAGGGAGCTCTCCAGCCTAAGCTCTTGTAACCCGGCTCCTCCCGGCTCCTCTATAAAAGGAGGAGGGAGCTCTCCAACCTAAGCTCTTGTAACCCGGCTCCTTGCCCTAAGCTCTCCAGCCTCGACCCAAGGTGCAACCCGGAGAAAGGCTCCTTTTATCTCTAGTTCAGACTAGATGCAACCTTAAGAGTGACCTCTTGGAGCATCTGTTTATTGGCCACCCTTTGCCCTCAGATGGTTATATTTAGTAGTTTGACCCTAATCTCTCGTCTAGGCCAAAACCTGACCTTCAAATTGAGGAAACCTACCCATCCCAAGAAGTTCAACAGGAGGGGTTTCCCCCTACTAGAACTTTATTGAGACAAAACATAAAAGGTTCATACACTGAGATTACGAAACAAAGAAGGTGACAAAGGAAATCATCAAGATTACACAATACATAAGACAAATGTTTGGAGAAACCAACAAGGACCACCTTTTCTCTAAATAAGCAGAAATCCTTTGGTGCGGCATGAACCCAGGGTCACCCCAGCACCAAAGGACTCACGAAATCACTGTTCACGTCCTGCCAGAACAGTATTTTTCTCTCACAACAATCAGCCGGAACAGTATTTTTCAGTCCTGCCGAACAGGCCCCAAGTCAAAAAGCCTAGGAATCAGTGCCCCTTGATGCTCTTACAGACTGTCCGTCAGCCTTCGAGTCAACAAGTTGATCAATCAGCCTGTCAGAGTCTAGGACGCCCCGATGGACTATCTGTCATGTCTCGGTTGACTATCCGTTCGGACACCGGCGGCAGTGGCACAACAACATGCAAATGTTGTGCTATCCGCTTCCTGACCCTCTTGGCGCCCTCACCGACGCTCATGGAGAAGCCCAAATCACCGGACCAGCCACTCTTCCACTCGTATCTCTCACCACTCTCATCCCTGCCTCTCTGTCTCTAGGACCAAGAACAAGGGAACAAGGAACATTAGCAAGGAGAGAAAAATGGAAGAAGAATTGGAGGATGAGCACGGAGTGAGAATAATTGGTTAATTATATATTCTAACATATTTAATTTGGTACTCTGTTTTAAAGGTTGGATTTCTCTTGGCCCGTCTTTCGTTTTATCATAGCACAAAATGATGATTTAAATAAATAAAGTGCATAGCACGACTGTGAGCAGCAAAACACTAGTAAAATAATACTTGAAATAGAGCACCAGCAAAATAAATCAAAATAAGCAAATCTCAAAATTTCTGGGAATTTTAGAGAGAGAGAGAGAGAGAGAGAGAGTTCCGCCAGGTAGAGGTCGGCTTGGGGAAGAAGATGTTATGTGTGTTCGAGTTCAAAATTGTAACATCTCCCTTCCACACTCTTACTTATCTGCCTCTCTCTTGGGCCGGCCTATGGGAACATGCGTTACACGACCACTCTGGGCCAACCAATCTCACGTTGCGGGGCCTTCAGTGTTGCTCCCCTGACCCCTCCTGGGCCTGGATACGGCCTCCGGGTCTCCTGGGTGCGGTGTGCTTTGCTAACACGTCGTTCATATATTCTCACTCGTGCGAGGATGGACACGTTTTGATATGGCACACATTTGTTTATGCAAGAACAATCCCATTAGTTAATTATTTAGTAATAATTTGTAGGAAAGCAACACGTACATAGGTCCATTATTCGGCAGATACTGGGACATATGAATACATGTCATGTCCGAGTTATATTTATTCATTTTATTTATTATTTACATTTTCTAGAGCAGGGATGGAATTGATATGGAAGCTTGGCAGCAGCTATGCCTCGATCTTTCAGCCGACGCGGGGCGTCTCGGCGACGGTGTCGACGAAGATGCGGACGCGGTCGGGCAGATAATCACCGGTCACCTTCGCGCCGACGGGCAGCACGACGATGTCGGCGTCGGGCTTGTCCTTGAGGATCACCTTCTTGGCTTCCTCTATGCTGAGGCCAACCACCTCCGGCCACGACGTCTTGGCGCTGCCGCACTCCGGTGCCGTCGCCGTGGAGCTCATGGTCGTCGTCGTGGGTCGACGTAACTGCGAATCAGTTGATCGATGACGATGCCCTGGCATGTGAATGAATAACTCAAAGGAAACAAACGACGACTACTACATTATTATTGCAAAAAACGTAAGGTATAGAAAGGCAGGCACACTCACGGGCAAGTGTTGCTTGTTCTCGTGCTTCTTTGTACTGCGCTACTGCTGCTGGTTATATGAAGTGATCGAGTATGCACCGGTGAGGTATTTATAGAGCTGGTGCTGCAGCCTGCAGGATATATGTACGATATGATGGAGATGAATGGATCGGATGACCTGTTCTCTGCTTTGAACGCAGACATCCCAATCCACAAGCAATCTTGTTTGACAATTAGTCATAAGCCACGCAAGCTTAACGTGCAATCTATCTGTCTTTTGATCTTTCTACTGAACACGTGGCTGGTATATATGCTACTAGTCGTACGTTCCAGCTAGCTGTGGTACGGCAAAAATGCATCCGCATGTCATATGTGCTATAGTTTATTCACATCATTGATAAGAGACACAACACCAAGATGCTGCACAGCCGTTGGCTTCTTATTAGCTAACGTGTTGGACATGCAAACGGGATAATCCACCGATCTAATTAAAGAACAATATCTGCAACGAATATCGATCGTGGAAGATGAAGGACGCACCAAATTTGTCAAAGCTGGATGCGTGTAATGCGGCCACGAATTCCGAATCTTCTTTTGTAAACACGGTTGTGCAGATTTCAAAGTTAAATAAAGGACTCTGTCTACTAACTTGTAGTGATTGAAATTGTTTTCTTTCCAGTTCATCGTTACCTTACAGTTTAGGCGATTGAGACATATGAAAGTTTGATGCCATTAAAAATGTACAAAGTAGCCAGAGCTCTGCATGCTGTTACATATATTATATAGTATATATGATCGAACAGAGGTAGTGTCTGTGGTACTTTTCATTTTACTTGAAAAAAAGAACATGCAGTCATCAGCGAGATTATCCCAACGAATTAAGAAAGACGATGGTAACCTTTTGTGAATTTAACCATTTTTGTTAGCCCAGTGGCATGAGGTTGTCACCATTTCTTGGCCTTCATGTTAAAGTTGTTACTTAGACCGTACTCCTTTGGAACGGAAAATTTTCACAGGAATCGTACAAAAAAATTATAAAAATAATTAAAATTTACAGCTCTAAATCATTCAGCTCATAGTTTTTTTTTTTTTGCAAGGATTCAGCTCATAGTTTAGCTAAACAAGCTCATACATCTCTGTCTTCTCATCCCTCACACAGGATTTCATTCAGACAAATAAAATATAGATACAACCTTAACAAGCTATACAAGATTGCAAGAGCTCTAAATCATCCAGCTCATAGTTTAGCCAAACAAGCTCATACATCTCTGTCTTCTCATCCCTCTCAAACTACTATATCTTGCACACATGTTGCTCATATGTTAATCAGTGCCTGGTGGTTAATGAAGCACTCACCTCCGTAAATTGGGAGCCTTTTATTGGCGCTACTCTCTGTACTCTGTTCTTAAGTGCAAGGAAGTTTCTTATAAAAAATGCAATCGGCACATCTGTGGTCAGCTGCACTTTTCATTGGGGCACATTTGTGTCTGAATGATTTGCCCATCATCACTTCCTTACGTACGTACGTTCATCCATGCAAGGATTGGAACGTGCTTTAGACATAAATAACAGTGGTAACACATTAATTCTCCATATGCAGAAAGACGATATGCCGGAACAGGAGCGTTGTTATTTTGTAGCATAATATGGTACCATTCATAGAAAGTAAAACACACATCAAATCCGGATCCATTGAGAAGATGCATGAACAGGGTACATACGATAGATCATGGCATCTTCTGAGTTATTCTTTTTACTATACATATATATATGTTTGATTATGTTGTGGACGGAGTAAAAGGCAGCTGGGCAACTAGCCAACATGGGGCGTTTCGGCAACGGTGTCGACGAAGATGCGGACCCGGTCAGGGAGTAAATCCTTGGGCACCGGCGTGCCGACGGGCAGCACGATGATGTCGGCGTCAGGCTTGTCTTTGAGGATGATCTTCTTGGCCTCCTCCACTTTCAGCCCGACCACCTCCGGCCATGACGTCTTTTCGCCGGCCGTCGATGAGCTCATGCTCGCTGGATATGATGAGTGGCTTAAGTGAGACTTCTTATGCTTCTGATATAGCACTGCTAGCTGTATATATGCACAGAGCGCTATTTATAGAACTGATGAAGGTAGGAAAAGTGTAATGGTCGTATGGTAGACTTATCTTGGTAGTTGGTAGATGGTGCAAGCAAAGCAAATAGAAAAAATGCTGATGTTGCAAAGAAATGGTACACGCCTGCTAGTTCCATGTCCACAACTGAATAACGAAGGCACGAGGCACACGAGGTGGCCCGTGGATGATGCTGCCGACATCCACTACACAACAAGCGGAGGATATGCGCGCGGAAACTAAAAATCCATAGCCACGTGGATGATCATGACACATAACACCATATGTCAAAATAATGTCATTTTCATTTTCATCGTTCAATCAATGAGAGGATGTTACTGCCTCCGGAAGTTTGAGAAATCAAACAATTTTAAATTTGACTAAATTTATACAAAAAAAATATTAATATTTATTATGAAAATATATTTTTCCTATTATAAGTATTTGTAGTCTAAAAAGCTAATAATATATTTTACAAATATAGTCAAATTTAAGGAAGTTTGATGAATCAATCCAAACCTAGAATTACGTCTTTTTAGGACGCAGAGGTTGTTCCTCACAAAAAGAATAATACCAAACCTAGAATTACGTCTTTTTAGGACGCAGAGGTTGTTCCTCACAAAAAGAATAATATATGTTCGGGTGACTAGCGCCGGGCGTCCAGACACTAGCCCCCATTTGAACGCCCGCGCTTGCCCCGCCTCCTGAGCCTGCACCGTATGTTGTTGCGCCTGCTCCGCATGCGGTAGCAACTGTTGCACCTGCCCACCCACCCCCGCATGCTGCTGTGGGCCCGTGCCTACTGCTGCGCATGCAGGTGGGGGGCCACTGAAACATATAAACACTTGCAACATACGTCTGAAATATTAATAAACACTTGCAACATACGTCTCAAATATAAACACATGTAACATACGTCTGACACCGCCGTGCCCTCCTCCACTACCGCCGGTGAGCCACCAACAGCCAAAGCCCCGCCCTTTTTACCTTCTCGTCGTGTTCTCGCCTGAGACCGGCCTTCGTGCCGTCGTCTTCACCATCGCAGGGGAGCTGCGACCATGCTGCGCCATTGCTGAGGAGCTGGACGACGCTGCCGGACCTCGCAGACCCATCCCGGACAGCAGTAGCCACCACCTGGTCGTCCACTGTCACCTCCAGCTGGTAGCAGCCAGCTTCTGGCCACCTGCTGCTGCGTCCAGCTAGCCTCCGGCCAGCAGCAAGCAGCAGCCGGCCGACGGTGGCTACAACAGGCCAGCAGCTAGCTGCAGCTTGCCAGGACGCGCCGCAGCGGCCCTTCATCGTCAAGGTCGAACTTTTGAACTCCGTCGACGCCAACCTCGACGTCGACAAAGCCCTTGCTTTTCATTTCTTTTCATTCCTTCGCGCCGTGCCTATACATGATTATCTATCTATAACTATGCTTGTGCCGTGCCCTTGCTCCTATACATGATTATCTATCTATAACTATGCTTGTGCCGTGCCTTCGCGCCGGTCTATCTCCCTCTTTTTGTCATCTATATCTATGACTGTGCCGTGCCTTCGTCGCCGGTCTATCTCATGATGCTATGGATATGTGCAACTCCGTCTAGTCATCGTCTTGTTGGTTTAGCTCTTGTTCTTGTGTTGTTCATGTTGTCAGTTTTTTTTGTGTGGTGTTGTCTGTCTGTGGACCGAGCCTTCAAGCCGGTCGAGGGTTCGTGCCCCGTTCGAATATTTCTGTCATGGGTTTGTCCCGCCGTGGCTGTGATGCCGAGCGTAACCTTAACCCTTGCTCTTAGTTGACTTTCTAGTACCATGATCATCGGCCCCTTCTATGGCTCTAGGACGTGGCCACCATGGGCTCGACATCGGTGCGCTTCCTACCCGCACATGATGAGCCCATCATGGCCTAGTCTATAGAAGACGAACTAGGGGACAACCATCGTGGAACTTATGGAAGCCAACTTGTGTAGGTATACCTTGTGGCCGCGAGTTTGCCTCGCCATGACCATCGAGCTTTACCTCTTTTGCTCGCTTGTTTATCCTAACCACCTCGTATGCTTGTACCACTTTGACCATGGCGTTCCTTCGGATCTAGCGGTGACAACCACATCGCTATGGACCTTAGGGATAGCCTTGTGCCATTTTAGTTGCACGGTTGTGGTGCCCTACGAGTGGGTTCGGATCGTGGGATCGTGTCTCCTTTCTTCCAACCTTCATCCGTTCCATGACGAGTTGGTCGAAAGAGTGCGGATTCCATTCTTCTCTCCTCTCTTGTTCTCAATCCTCGTTGATCCAGTAAGATGTGGATTGAGCCCTTCGCTTGTTTGGTGTTTATTGCTCTCTTGATTCCATTCCTTCGATTCCCGTTGTTGCTATGGCGAGTGGATCAAAGGAAGGTGAATCCCATGTTCCCCCTCTTTGGGTTCTGTTGCGTAGCATTTCTTTGGTTCTTGCGGTGACAACCGCACCACTAAGAACCCTAGGGATGTCTTAGTGCATTTAGTGCACCTAGGTCGTGGTACCCTACAAGTAGTTGGGCACTCGTGTTCTCATGTGTGTCACTCCTTTCGATGCCTTGTCTCTTGCCATGGTGTGTGGATTGGAAGAAGTAGACCACCTCCCTTCTCTTCTCTCCCCCGTTCCACCCTCTCCTGGTTCTCGTCAATTATAATGGCGGATGGATTGAGAGAGACTGGAACTACTTCCTTTCCCCCTTAGCCGCTCTTTTCGATCCTCGACAATCTCCATGATGCCCGGATCAGAAGACCGTGAGGCGTGGTGTTTGCTTAAGATGAGCTAGGGTCTATGCCATTTTTATAGAAGTTGTACAGGTCGACACGATCGACTCAGGAAGTACTGGCTAGGCTAAGATTTAAGCTTGTGATTAGCGAACAACCACTTCTATTTCTTTTGGCCCAGGGATCGGACATCCGCTGAGAGGGCTAAGTCATTTTCCCTATGGTGTTCTTTTGGTGTAGTTGTTCTTCCGTGTCTTGTTGCCTTTTTAGAGTATTGATTGCTTTCTATCTTGCTTGTCGCTCTATCGAGGTAGTTGCATCGAGGATAGCATTGATCGGGCCGGAACCCGTTGGATGAAGGAAATGTGGACGGCAGCGGGACTTTGAGGAGATCAACTACGAGTACACTGAAGATCTCGGAGATGACCAATCAACAGGTGCCACGTCCCACCCGACCTCGTAGAATCCTATTAGACATGCTATAATATAGATGCTAGTGCTTTATTTTATGCAAATGATCTGTGATAGGTTGCATGGTAGAATTGCTTGTGAGCCATTACCTTGTCGCAACCTATACCCCTGCACACCCGCTGCTAGGCTAGACGCTCGCTTACTTACTTGCTACTGCTTCTACTACGCATTATATTTGTGATGTGATGCTTGGTGGACGGTTGTTTATGAGTGGTTAAGGCACTTGGTGCCAATAATGTGGTAACAACCGGGGAGATCTTGGCGTGCGTCTTAGGTGTGTGGTGAGGGTTGAGTCAATCGGGCATGATCTTACGATGAGTCATTGGACGAGTCACGCTAGAGAAGTGCGACTGGGCATCCCCTACGAGAGGTACCTATGGCAGGTGCATGTGAGATGAGGAGATCCCAGGGTGGAGTGTCTTTATGGGATGAAGCCCTAGGATCGAGGTGTCATTGAGGCACGGGGCATTGGTTGGCCCCTTGTGAAGATATCCTGTCCGGTCCCCCTAAGGGCTGGTATGTCGAGAGAACCGGATCATAGGACCCTACGTGCACGCCACTCATTCCTAAATGGGCGGGGGACGGATGCTGACCAGCTAGGACGGTGCCACTACTACTAGGTTGGAAGTGGATAGTGTAGGGAGGTACGGGCGTGTGACCCACACCCTCCTAAGATAGCGTAGTGACCTCTGGGGCCTGGTACTACGTCTCACAGTCTCAGTGTTTCGGTGGACTCTGGGGTGGCCCAGGTCTGAGTGGTAGGGTGGCATCGCACCGGTTGGAAGGTAGCCTGGTATCAGCCTAGGCGGGGCACCACCGATGATGGTGATCTTGTGGTTCCAGGTGTACACGCTCTGCAGAGTTGATCGATCTATACGTATATCCGCGTCCTTGGATATGGACCTTCCTATGACCTACGCTTCCCTTGATTAGTGAGTGGAGTCCTTTCTTCTTCTCCCCTTGGGTGTGGTGTTGGATTCTGGCGTTGGCCGTTGAGGCAAGGCATGAGAGGGAGTCGTCCTTGCCGCCTAGAGAGTGAGTGTGGTGAGATGGGTGTGTTGGGATGGGTGAACATGTGGATGAGATGGGTTAAAACTTGATGAATTATTATAAAATAATGATGAACTTGCATAGGAAAACTACAGCCATAAATAGGTCTTTTGCTCTACCCTTGCATGCCACTTACCACAAAGCAACGCAAAGCATAGGGTGGGAGCCAGTGGCTAGTACAAATCATACTGAAAGATGTTTGGCAGGTTCGGATGACATCTACGACGACGACAACAGAGATTAGAAGGATTAGGTGGTCTCATTCCTACTCTCAAGTTTGGTTGAGGAGATGAAGTCTACGCCCGCTGACATCCTATGCCGACTCTGAAGATTGCCTGTGAAGGAGGAGCCTTCACCCGCTGATGCGCTACGTCGACTCTGATGAAGATCTGTATGTGTTTCTGCTAGAATACCGATGTACTTAGGTGTGTTACCAAGCGTTGTAATGCCTTGTAATCTTGTAATTCCGCGATGTATGAACTATGATATCAACTGAATAATGATAATGTGATAGTTTGGACTTCCTGGACTACCACATTATGATGTAATATGTGGATTTTCCTTCGAGGAAATCGTGGATCGTTTCACTATGCCATTGCCACTCCGGGCCCGCATGTCAGCGGCGCTCGTTTTCGATGCGGACTCTGTTTCGATGGAAATTGTCGTGCCGACCCCGATTTCATCGGGATTGTGCGTGTACCGCACACCTTGGCCCCTATATAAGCTAGCCCTTCTGCCGCCGCCTCCACCCCAAACCCTAGCTCATGATGCCCTCCGCCTTGAACTCGCAGCGTCGCAGCAACCCTAACCCGCCGCCGCTGAGCTCGGATTCGTCGCTTCGTAGCCGTTTTCGTCCCTCTTCCGAGCTTCGTGTCAGGTTCTCGAAGTCGCCTAATTTCCTACCTTTCTTTTTCTCGATCTTAGACACTCACTGACCGTCGCCGTGGTTTGCAGAGCACTGCAACCCATGGTTCCGAGCCCCACGTCGACTTCGCTCCACCTCCGCCATCAAAACCACTCGTGGTGAGTTCGCCGTTATCCCCTCTTTCTTCCCGTGCTGATCCCGAGCCAAACCGTGGCCTCTTGGGCCGTTTCCATGTTCACCGGCGAGCACACTCGCCGCTGGCAATGTCCTCCACCATGCCGGTTCTCCTGTACCGGCCGGCCAAATCCCCTGCCTCGATCCCATCTAATCTGGATCATCCAGATCAGATCCGACGGCCCCTAATGGACCATATAAGTTAGGCGCGGGCCTTTTTGCAGAAGACCCCTTCCTTTCTTCTTAATTCTTCCCGTTGTCCCTGGCTCTATTCTAAATCCGATTGAATTTTTTTAAATACGAAAATAGTTCGCAGTAATTACAAGATTGCCATCTAGAGTCTATTTTCATCATACCTTCTTCGTTTTAGATCCGATTTGAGTGCAATTTGCATCTATGTGATCGTAGCAATACATGAATTAGATCTAAAAGCTTTTCAATTATCTTTTTTCATTGTTGGTGTACTGTTAGAATCTATAATTTTTATTTGTTATCCATGATTGTCTCTGGATGCTTGTGTGTTGCTGTGTGAGTACAAACGGTGAGCAATACGTGGGTGACCAGGAGTACTTTGTTGATGACCTGGAACAGCAGGAGCCTTTTGAGCAAGGCAATATAGCATGGGACTATCCTTGTTACTTGAACATAGAAACAAAGGTGCCTTTCGAATGGTTATTATAATGGTTATAAGGTGTGTAGGTAACAAGGATAGTCCCATGCTAACTATTGCTCAAAAGGCTCCTTCTGTTTCGGGTCATCAACGAAGTACTCCTGGTCACCCACGTACTGCTCGTCAACAAAGTACTCCTGGTCACCCACGTATTGCTCACCGTCTATACTCGATCCACACAGCAACACACAAGCATCCATAGGCAATCATGCATAGCAAACAAACACTATAGATTAGAACAGTACACCAACAATGGAAAAAGAGGTTGAAAAGCTTTTAGATCTAATCTATGCATTGCTACGATCACATAGACACAAATTGCACTCAAATCGGATCTAAAACGGAGAAGATGTGATGAAAATGTACTCTGGGTGGCAATCTTGTAATTACTGCAAACTATTTTCGTATTTAAAATAAATCTAAATCGGATTTAAAATAGAGCCAGGGACTGTGGGCAAAATTAAGGAGAAAGGCAGGGGGTCTTCTGCAAAAAGGTGCGGCCAAACATTCCATTAGGGATCGTCAGATGTGATCTAGACGATCCATATTAGATGGGATCAAGGGAGGGGATTTGGCCAGCCGGTATAGGGGCGCGGTGGAGGAGTTTACCGAAGTGTCTAGTTATCTATTTCGTTTTCGCTGAGACTTTGATACTAATGTAATGGATTATTAAACGTGATGTAATAAAGCTTTGTGCTTAATACTTTTGTAATTTGTCTCTATATATGTGTGTGATTGATCTCTGGGCACACATGGTTTTATACTTGTTTTTTATCTTAAAACCGGGTGGGACACCAGCTGTCTTACTAGTACATACAGGTTTTCCCATTTTTAATTTCCACATCCACAACTGCCATGCTCTTGAAATCAGAAAGGTTTTTCAGGTTATCCCACCACCAAAAAGAATTACTGCTGATTATTGCCCACTGTCAGTTCGAAACCGACACCACGATATGGTCGGAGCACTGTCAGTGCCCTTGCTTAGGATAGGAAACCACATCTGGATCCACACAGAAAATGCATTGATCATCTTGGCATACATACATACATATGAGCATTGATCTGCATGACGTTCTGAATTATTCATATATTCAGTTCCTGAGCACAAAAGCTAGCTAGCTATATGCAGTATCGGCTAGCCGACACGGGGCGTCTCGGCGACGGTGTCGACGAAGATGCGGACGCGGTTGGGACGGAAATCCTTGGTCACCGGCGAGCCGACGGGCAGCACGAAAATGTCGGCGTCGGGCTTGTCCTTGAGGATCACCTTCTTGGCCTCCTCCACGCTCAGTCCGACCACCTCTGGCCATGACTTCTTGGCGCCGCCGCGCTCCTCTTCCGCCGAGGAGCTCATCGTCGGCGCGGTCAACGTACCTCAGCTGTGGTGGTGCATGGTCATTTGAAATAAATGAGCTATATAATATAAATATATACATACATGCATGTAAACTTAAAGATAATAGGTTAGTCTTACTCACATAATGGTAATGCCGAGTATACTTGAGTTGATGAAGAACTCCTTGATGACCCTAACTGCTTGTATTGCTGGCTAATAATAAGCACGGGTAGTATTTATAGAGCTAGCAACTGCAAGCAGGTTTTTTTGGGATCGGATAAGGATTAATTTAGGATAGTCATGCTACGGTGGACTTGACTGTGCATGCAAGCACGTGTGCCACACGCACACGAACAACCACCAAAAGGAAGGTGAGGTGTATAACACGGTGTGTATATGGCCCTGTCTGGAGAATCGCTTGAACTACTTATCAGATATGGTACAATATTTTTCTCTCACAATAAAACAAGCTTATTACCAGCCACAGAAATCATCAGTCGAACAAGACGTAAATAGGCCTACGGATTCCTGCAGCACCATCGCTATTGTAATCGATCGGATCGTTCGCCCCATGCCATCATTGATTCCTTCCAAAACATTCTTCAAAAAGATACTCCATCTATTATAAATTATAAGTTATTTTAAATTTTTTAAGTCAAATCATCTCAAGTTTAACCAAATTTATATAATAAAACAATAACATTTATGATATTATTAGATTCTTCATTAATTATATTTTGATAGTATACCTATTTGATGTCATAAATCTTCGTAATTTTTTCTATAATTTTGATCAAACTTGAAATGCTTTGACTCTCCAAGAAAGTTGGAATGACTTATAATTTGGGGAGTAGGGAGTAACAACTCCCTATATCTATGAATAAAATAGATTCGTAGAGTTTTCTAAAGTCAAATATTTTAAACTTTGTTCAAATTTCTAAAAACCCCCGTTAAGATTTATGACATGAAATTAGTAACATTAGATATACCATATAATATTTTTTTCATAATGTGCCCATTTTATGTTATAGATGTTGTTGATCTTTCCTATAAAGTTAATCAAACTTAGGATAGTTTGACTGGCAGGGATTCTATTAATGGATTTATTTGGAGATAGAGAGAGTACTACTGTTGTAGAAATTATTTTGAAAGGTAGGTCCTTTTTATTAGCAGAGGTGACCAGTTCGATCGTCTATTAATTAATAGGCCATTTACAATCACCTCTATAAATCAATTAACAATATTAAAAATACCAGAAAACAAAAAGAGAGAATCTTCTAGGATTTAAACCCATAATCTCAAGTCTCACGCGTGATGTCTCTCTACGTATCAACATTTAGCACTACGGCACTAAATTATAACTGAGTATAGGATGTTATTCTTTTATATTAACACTTCGTAATATTTACTCAATGTTTTGACCGCTAAATGATTTGATGATTTTGAATTGAGCCTCGCAATCTTTTTTGTAGGAGTACATGCCATAGATCTCAAGCAATACTAGAGATAGAGATGCAACTAATCAGCCTTGCAATCAATAATTATAAATATGATGAAATGAATTGAAAGCCGCTCCTGACGAAGCAGAAAGGACTGAGGTTATTTTTATGAATTAAGCAGCAATATGGGGACAAAAAGTACAAGAATTTTTTTACGGGAAGCAGTGCTGACACGCATGCATTCAGATTGTCGCGCTTGACAAAGGAGGGTATCCTTGCATATCATGTTGAGCAATTGAGCTCGCTTGTTTATCATTGTTTCTTTTCCTGGGCCGGATTGAGTGGATCTGGTGGATCACTGAAACCTGATCCGGTTCGAATCGAAGTGTTCCTAGGTGTGGCTCCAATCCGGGCTCGGGCCGGAGGGGGTGAAAAGGCCTAGAATGGCCTGATTTTTTTGTTTGTTTGACTGTTTAAGTCAGCGTGTTTGTTTTCTTGATCGTTTGGGTGCACTTGTAATATAACTGTGGACTGATGTATTTTCCTTTGAAGTGTCTGACTAATTTTCCATTACCTAAAAAAATGGTAACTCTGCATGCTTCTCTTTTTATATGCTTGAAAGGGCATAAAAAGGCCAAAGGAAAGGACATAATTAAAAAGGTGGGTCAGGTACAAGGACATACAAAGTCCAAAGGAAAGGACAAATGATACAACAAGAGTAAAATCTAGTGTGCAAAGAAAAATGATGCAAGGTAGGTGTCCACATTGACACTATGCAGGCAATGCAAGAAAAACATTGACACACGTAAGGATGAGAGGGAACACCACATTACAGTAACCAGACAATATAATTCATTTGTTTGTTGCCAAAACTAAATGTGGATCGTAAAAGGCTCTACCAACAACGAATGAATGGTATCCTTGAGGTTGTGGCAGTTCGTGAAATTGTCCTCTTGGTTGTACATGAATTCCATCGTCGTTGCCAAGTTGAATATCCTCTCCAATAGTTGCTTTGGATACACATTGCTGGGATTTAGCCACTCGCTATTTAAATCTTTCCAAGACTCCTCTTTTAGATTGTGTATCTTTTCCCGCGCCACTTCAACTGAGACGTTGTGCTTTTTCATGTAGCTATCGATTGTGGAAGCTACATGAGGGATTACTTGCTCTCGCTGCACGAAGTCAAAAATATCGGTAAGAAAATTTCTGTGTTGTTGACCTAAGATTATTTAGTTAGGTTTTTATGCTGGTACTTGTTCACCCACATTCACGTGCTAGACTTGGCACAGATGCTTGCATTTTGTAGATGTATTCCAAGTAAAAATAACACTGTTATTTATGTAGTAGGTAGCATGCCCATCGATGGTAGTAGGACATTTTTATTGACTTTGTGAATATCAAGATCTGTCAGCTCAATCTAGCAGAGCGAGTGTGCATGTGTGTATGAGAGTGAACACATATATATTGTGTTTTTTAAAAAAAAAAAAGCATTGCTAGGTACTAACAAAGCTATGTTATGTGATCATCAATACCAAAGTCCCATAGCAAATTGAAAATGGGAACTATAAGATTTATATTATGCTTAAAAACCATGTCAAACTTTCAGCTAAGGAGTTATAGAAAATACCTCATATGACCGGAGATCATCTACTAGTCTGAGAATTACAGAAAGTGCATGCACCATTTTGGGTACACTAGAAATCCAATCAAAGAAATCCTTTGTTGCTATAGCATGCATCCCGACAAAAGAAGCACATGATAAAATGGGGCACCCACCAGTTCTTAATGAAACCTTAAGATGCTCTTCAACAGACTTTGGGATATAACCTTCTTGAAGCATTTTTACCTCCGTGTTGAAGCCTCTCACTAGATCTTCTGTCTGCATATTAAAGATTGCAACTATATGAAAATTTTCCACATACTAAAAGCTAGAGATGTGTTAAACATGTTTGTTTGACTCATAGCATCAAGCTAGCATGCAAGGCTACTAGCTAAATAGATATACCTCGCAGTTTCCTGGATAATCATTCACTGCGAGAACCAGAAAAAATAAAATATGTAGAAGAGAAAGGTAGCTTACAAAGTATCTTAGATACGTCATGCGATACTTCTCCTCTTGGTGGAGCATATTCGTAATGGTTTCATAGCTATCCAATATTTTCCCCAAAGCAAATTTCATGCAACCAGGGAGGTCTTGAGCCCCTTTGGGATCCCAGCTGGACATGACAATTGGGAAATAACTCATGAATTCTAGACTACCACTATGGTAGAAAAACACTGAAACATTTTTAGGTAATTTAAATGTGTAATTACATTTGTTGGGTTTCCCCCGAGCTAGATGGGGTTTTCCATGCATGATAATAACAAACAAGACATAGTTAATTACCAATATAATATGGTAATCTCAAGGAAATAATATACACTATTTTCTATCTTCTTATATAAAGAACTTTGATCCTAGTTTCTAGTTATACATGCATATATATACAACTTACCAAGTTAAAATAGCACACATTTTTCTTTATTGTTCATTACAAATTTTATTGTCAAGAGTGACAAGAACTCGTGTGAACTTGGGATGAAAAAAATATTTGTAAGCTAGGAAAGTTAATACAAACCTTTCAATGCAATTAGCGAGTAACTCACATTCTTTTGGAGTTCCATAAGAATCAAAAATATCATCCAAGAGTGTCACAATGGCAATAATCATTGTCAATATTATCCGGGCTCTTGAATGACATGGTTCATAGTATACCCCTAAGATCCATAAAAAACACTCCACTATTCTATCTCGGGCGAAAGGAAGTTTCGATCCGATCTTTATATCCTCCCACCATCTGTACAGGCATAACAATTGTCATAGAGCTCTATCTTCAAAAAATATTAAGCTTATAAAACAAATAAAATGAACTTTTGAAATCTAGACATTTCATCTATGTATTAATTAATATAAGATTAGTCATTTTTATTTTGAAATAAATATTTGTGTGTAGCAGAACTCTAGATAGCAACACACGCGGCCACTTCACCTTGTAAGGATATTCAGCTCTTGCTGATGATGGAGCTGCAGAATATTTGAACTCAACTTTGCAAGTTGCAATACCTTCTCATGCAGTGTTCCATCTTTCTCATATGTACAGATATAATGCTTTGACTCATAGATTCTAACCCTTCTAGGTAGTGGGATCTCGAGTGCGGATTTTACTTCATATGCTAATGACGACCCTTGCAAGTAGGGCAGTATTATCTCCAAACGACTTCTTGTGAATGTTATAGCTTCATCAAGTATTATCTCCCCATGGGTCCTAAAATGCGCAGCATTGTAGAGCCTCAGTAGGTCTATAGGCTTGTTTGCTAAGAAACCTCCCTCCGCATCTTTGAACCTCACAAACACATCTGCAACAATGGCATCAAATTTGTTGCTAGTAGAAGAAAGTTTATTCCTGAAATTAAAAGAAATTAATTCGTGGTGGAAGAGCCAAAAAGAAATGACTTTGTAGAGCCTTAAAAGGGATTACTGCCTGAACTGAGTTGAGTAACAGGACTTCATCATTTGGTTGGTTTTATGGTTTTTGCCAACAGAGGGAGTAAAGTGTCCTTCTGGGCTTCATTTGGTTTTGCTGTGGCTCAGCGAGCTACCAACTTGAGCTTTAAAACGTTTTAACCTATGTGCAAATCCAGACCAGGAACTTCCCTAATAATATTATTCTGAATAGCATTATTGCTACAATCTAGTACTTTGCAATATATCTGCTAGAAGTATTAGGGAATATGAAATTAGCTTGGTTCGGTGTGAAAATATTATTTACAGAAATTAGTTAACAAGTGATGAAGACAACATTAACAAAACAACAACCATGTGCACGGCCCTGGTCGATCGTTCTCCGAGAATCATCCTTAATAATTCCTTAAATTACATTAGATTCCGGTCAATGTGAGAGTATCATTTCAGGACGCTCCTTTTTTACTGATGCATGGCTGACCTAACATTTCCTTCATGGGTAGAAGAACACGTACATTGCAGTGTACTACAATCACAAACAGTGCATGATTATTTTAAATTCTATGGTCCCGGCCGGTGGTTAAAATAAATTTACCTGGTGAAACCCTGTATCGGTGTTTCCGAAGTAGATAAAACCAGAGAGATACTGTCCCAATGTCACAGTCACTGACATCAGCAGTCTCAATTTGTGATAATGCAGCATTGATCTCTTCTTCGAACAGGTGATCCAAGCACAGGCTCTCCAACGCGTCTATGAAATGCAGGCTACCCATGGTTGAAGTTGCTGCTATCATTAGAGCCACTTCTTCCCTCAGTTCATCAGCTCGTTCCATCCAAGTCTAATGAAACAGTAAATACTAAAGCTATATAAGCATAATTACAAGCACAAGCACTGACAGGTCTCAAACTTTCAATGGTCTTAATATAGATCATGCTCAAATTGACTTGAAAAATATAACTATATCTCTATATATATATATATATTACATAGATAGATATCGAAAAAGAGATCGATCCATAAATAAATTAACCTTTTGTTGGGACGAAGCTTCAGGGCTAGAGTAGCCAAGGAAGAAATCCCCCCATATAGATGGGTGGAAAATGCCGGTGTTTTGGCTCAGCCGGCTGTCACCCTCATCGTCAAGTTCTTGCTCTGTTCTTGGGTTGGAATCCTGCTGCCGTTGGCAGCGTTGTTGCAACCTTCTGTGCTTCTTCCAACTCCATGAAATGCTTCCGGATCGCCAGAGCGACTTCGATTCGGAGGCAGGAATAATATGGTAGATCCTGCTGCTGCGGTGCTGTGGTTTGAAGGAGAAGAAGGTGGCCATAGTACATTACAGCTCCGTGTCTCCGAATTGACTTGCCCTTAATCTATACTTATATATATATAAAGAAGTTGGCCTCTAATAAGATAGCTTGTAAATCTGTGTAATCTAGCTAGAGATAGCTTGTGCAAAAGAGGAAACCTACCTGCTCTAGCCTTACTTGTTTTCTGATAGGTGAGATATAGCCGTACTTTAATATAACACGAGGCACACGAGTTGGGAAAAGAGACAACTCCTACCTGCCCTAGCAGACACGAGGAACACGAGGTGGACCACGACCAGTCTCCATTGTTAATGATTTTTAGAACACGAAACAAAAGCTCTCAAAATAAAAAAAAATTAAAAATATTTTTATCTTATTAGAAGAAGCCCACTAACTAATAAGCACCGTGATCGATTTTTCGGACAAACTTCGTGTGTGTAGGTTTTATGGGTTTCATTCAAACCTTTGACTAACCTAAAGCGTTGCATCACCCCTCCTTACAAATATACCAGTTAACATAGGATGATATTCCTTAGTAACAATTTTAAGAAATTGTTATTGAATATTTAGGATTCAAAATGATCTCAAATATAAAAATTAACTTCAAAAAGTTTTAGTTCTCATCAATGTTGTGTCGAAAACCGAATGAAGACATATAAAATAATTGTAATGCAAGGGAGACACATGCACACATATTCGAGAATTACATATTTCATTAATTCTTTCTTGAATATACAAAATACATGATCAACGAAAAAAAATGTCTTCTTCCGTCTTCAGCGTCAAGCTTAAGGAGAGGTCTGACTTGTAGAAAATTGCATAGTTTGCCAATTCCTAGGGCCTGTTAGGCGCGTCTGATTAATTACATCCGCAAGACAAGCTAGCGGAAAACATCCAATTAAGCTGCGCTTTATGGTCGTCAAATACTTGATTGCTCGTCATCAGCTATATGCGATATATGGCATAGTAACTATGGGTGGCTTTATATCGCTGAAGCTCGGTCGTGACATCGCCAACGCCACGTCGGAGTAAACGGAATATGTTGATGAAGGGGATGATTTTTGCCTCGTCGGTGCCCAGTCATGTACGCCGACCTTCATTAACACGGACGTGTGTGAGTTGCCTTTGCCTCGTCGGTGCCCAGCAACGATGTGTCATATCCCGTAATTGGGACATGTAGATGGAGTAGTGATCTCGCCTCGTCGGCACTTGGCCATAATTCTGTCTAGCACTACGTCAGATATGATTTCCAGGGGCGGCTACAGTACATTTGTAGGAGCGGTTCGGCCAGCCGCCCCTACCATACCGTCTCTATAAATCATATATTTGTAGGGGCGGTTCCCAGACCTCCCCTACAAATCG